ACCTGCCTTATACATTTGTAATCCAATGACACATGGGATGACAGCGAAAGATACAGCTGATGCTGGGTCGTGGTCACCCCTGGCATAAGCAGGGACAATTCACATTGAAATCAAGATAAATTTGGTCTATAATGTCTACAAAATTTACTATGGATGTCCCTCCATCCAAAGTTTGACCATCTCCCTTGCCCTTTCTGCAATTACCCAATTATGACATGACAAGAACATCCCTGTCACTCTTATGGAGAGAGCTTTTTTACGGATGGTTTCTTCTGGAGTTAGCAACAAAATGCAAAACTGCTTCAAGCTTAGAAAAGAATCTCATCTAAGAGTGGGACAAAGTGTCAGGCAGAATTAGTCAAAAATGGGAATGGGCACCTGTCACACATGAAGAACTTGCCCAGAAGAAATGACAGTTTATCACTTCTTTGAACCCATAATGTATTCCAAATTTTGATTTAAAAAAAGACAAAGCAATGAAAAAAATAAAAGTTCCAGCACTATTGTTATGTGATGGAGTTGAGAGAAAACAGAAGACCCAACCTTATGGTTGGACTGGGCTTGGAGAGGAATGAAAGCATTAATCTAAGGAAGCTTCCCTGTCAGAAGGCCAAAAACCCTTATTTGTCACACTGTCTTAAGATATATCTAGATGCCAGACAGTCTAACAGCATCTACTTGGTAAATGACCTTTAAATTGGAAGATGTCCTTTATACTGGAACTAAAAGCTGTTTGGTTCTAAGTGGTTTAAATTGGAGCTAAAAGGCAGCTTGTCGCTGGAGCCTGTACACTGTTTCTGCTGAGACTGTGCCCTTTTATAGAAACTTTGTTACTGCATTATTTATATAGGGGTTTGAGGGGAATTCTTAAAGACAAAAAAGAAAATACTTAGATAGAAATGCAGCTTTTAATGAGTGGTATGGATGCCAACCAATGAGAATGGGAGATTACAGAGGCAGAAATGTATTTTCTGAACCCACCCCTTTGAAATGCAGCCCTGAGAGCTGTGCATGTTTAATACACACAGGGTGAAACAGCTGCCGCTGTGACAGGGCCCTATAAATCAGGACTTTGTAAGGATTGTGGATATACATACACCATGCCAGAGGGAGGCAGAATGAGAAAGCAATAAGGATGGGTGTTACTCACTGAGACCTAACTTTTACTTACATCCAGAACCAGCTATTGTGATGCAAGGCAGGAAGAGGAATGGAAAGGAGAAGGGAAAAGAGGATCTAAGAAAAGAAAAAAATGCAAAGAAACACTAAGTACATCCGATGAAGTGAGCTGTAGCTCATGAAAGCTTATGCTCAAATAAATTGCAAAAAGAAAAGGAGTACTTGTGGCACCTTAGAGACTAACCAATTTATTTGAGCATAAGCTTTCGTGAGCTACAGCTCACTTCATCGGATGCATACTGTGGAAAGTTTACAAGATCTTATTATATACACACAAAGCATGAAAAAATACCTCCTCCCACCCCACTTGTGTGTATATAATAAGATCTTCTAAACTTTCCACAGTATGCGTCCGATGAAGTGAGCTGTAGCTCACGAAAGCTTATGCTCAAATAAATTGGTTAGTCTCTAAGGTGCCACAAGTACTCCTTTTCTTTTTGCAAATACAGACTAACACGGCTGTTATTCTGAAACCTGTCAAATAAATTGGTTAGTCTCTAAGGTGCCACAAGTACTCCTTTTCTTTTTACTAAGTACAAAGCCATTACAATATCTAATGCAGGCAAGTTATAGAGGAACAAAGACATTTTTGAAGACCCCAGAGATAGCCTTTTTTCACTGGATGATGGACAATAGCAGCCTGTTTTCAATTTGCCCTATACTCTGCTCACACCTCAGGGTATTTGTGCTCCTGCTACCTACAAATGGAAATGGCTGATAAGGGTTATATGAGAATGTGCACGTAGCAGCCAGCTGGGCCAGATCCCTCCACCCACTGTTTGTGTTTGAAAAGTGCAGTGTGTCAGAATTTCCACCTTTTTTGTAATTGTCTCTGTACTTTGCAGTTTCTTTTGACCGAGCATAAGATGGCATAAATTCACTTTCCCCCACCCTTTTCTCCAGGCACAATCAGCTTGGACGTGACTGCAGGCATCTGAAGGGAGGAATGATTGGGTTTACTTTACTAAAACGAATTGCTAGCCTCATATTTCCTTTTAACCCTCACTTTACTGGGTAATCCTGAGACATTAAAGGCCAAACACAAAACCAAACTCTGTTTTAAGTTTATTTCACTCCTGTTTGACCAACAGCAACGACTGCTCTTTACATTGCCAGGTTGCAGGTGCATAGAACAGAGAGATAAAGAAAGTGGAATTCTGCAACCAGCAACTGGCCTTTTAACAGATGTCACAAATCTTAATAGTTAATCTAAACAATCTGCTCCACCTTGTATTTACCTGTGAAACTCTGAATATCTTTTCCAGATCTGACAAAGAGCGGTGTAGCTCAAAAGCGTGTCTCTTTCAGCACCAGAGGTTGGTCCAGTAAAAGATTACTTCACCCACCATAGTTCTCTAGTATCCTGGATGAACACAACTAGAACAACTTTGAAACAACATAGTTAATCTCTAGCAATAATACTTATATAGCTTGTTTCATCTGCAAGTTTTGGGGCCCACTTCTCTCCTGTATCCCATGCAATCCCATGGACATCAGTGGCTACACAAGGTGTGAGTCACAGCACGGTTTGGCCCAGTATTCCTAACTGCTAGACACCTTTTTATTTATGATTTCCTATGTGAAACAAAAGACAGACTACCTCACCTTCCAAGCACAATAAATAAAGAGTTAATAACATGTAATGGATGCTTTATAATTTGTAGAGATGAGATGAATCCACACTTTGGAGTCAAGCTCCACAGATCCACTTATTCATTCAGTTCAGTTAAAATGTAAAGGTTGGACTTTCTTAAGTGCTCAGCATTGGCCTACCTTTGCCCTCCACTGAAGTCAATGGGAAGTATTTGCCCTCACCTCAAAAGCGTTGGCCAAGTATGACAGTATCTCATTCCTTTCAGTGAGAGTTTAGCCCTTGACCTCAGTGGGGACAGGATCAGGCCAGGAGCAGAACTGCAATGAGGTTGCATTATTCCCTACTAGTGTTTTGAATTGTCAGCTAAGGGTATGTCTATACGACGAAATTCGGTCAAATTTATAGAAGTCAGTTTTGTAGAAAGCTTTTTTATACAGTCGATTGTGTGTGTCCCCACACAAATGCTCCAAGTGCATGTAGTCAGTGGAGTGTGTCCACAGTACTGAGGCAACCATTGACTTCCAGAGCATTGCACTGTGGGTAGCTATCCCACAGTTCCCAGAGTCTCCGCCGCCCATTTGAATTCTGGATAGAAATCCCAGTGCCTGATGGGGCTAAAACATTGTTGATTTTAATTCCCTGTACGCCAACCCTGTAAGCCATGTCGTCAGTCGCCCCTCCCTCTGTCAGGGCAATGGCAGACAATCGTTCCGCGCCTTTTTTCTGTGCAGACGCCATACCATGGCAAGCCTGGAGCCCGCTCAGCTCACTTTGGCAATTAGGAGCACATTAAACACCACACACATTATCCAGCAGTATATGCAGCACCAGAACCTGTCAAAGCGAAACCGGTCGAGTAGGCGATGTCAGCACGGTGACGTGAGTGATGAGGACATGGACACAGACTTCTCTCAAACCAGGGGCCCTGGCAATATGGGCATCATGGTGGTAATGGGGCAGGTTCATGCGGTGGAACGCCAATTCTGGGCATGGGAAACAAGCACAGACTGGTGGGACCGCATAGTGTTGCAGGTCTGGGACGATTCCCAGTGGCTGTGAAACTTTCACATGCATAAGGGCACGTTCATGGAACTTTGTGACTTGCTTTCCCCTGCCCTGAGGCGCATGAATACCAAGATGAGAGCAGCCCTCACAGTTGAGAAGTGAGTGGCAATAGCCCTGTGGAAGCTTGCAACGCCAGACAGCTACCAGTCAGTCAGGAATCAATTTGGAGTGGGCAAATCTACTGTGGGGGCTGCTGTGATGCAAGTAGCCAACGCAATCAAAGATCTGGTGATATCAAGGGTAGTGACCCTGGGAAATGTGCAGGTCATAGTGGATGGCTTTGCTGCAATGGGATTCCCTACCTGTGGTGGGGCCATAGACGGAACCCATATCCCTATCTTCGGACCGGATCACCTTGCTAACCAGTATATAAACCGAAAGGGGTACTTTTCAATGGTGTTGCAAGCACTGGTGGATCACAAGGGACGTTTAACCAACATCAATGTGGGACGGCTGGGAAAGGTACATGACACTCGCATCTTCAGGAACTCTGGTCTGTTTCAAAAGCTGCAGGAAGGGACTTTATTCCCAGACCAGAAAATAACCGTTGGGGATGTTGAAATGCCTATAGTTATTCTTGGGGACGCAGCCTACCCTTTAATGCCATGGCTCATGAAGCCGTACACAGGCAGCCTGGACAGTAGTCAGGAGCTGTTCAACTACAGGCTGAGCAAGTGCAGAATGGTGGTAGAATGTGCATTTGGACGTTTAAAAGCGCACTGGCGCAGTTTACTGACTCGGTTAGATGTCTGCGAAACCAATATTCCCACTGTTATTACTGCTTGCTGTGCGCTCCGCAATATCTGTGAGAGTAAGGGGGAGAAGTTTATGGCGGGGTGGGAGGTTGAGGCAAATCGCCTGGCTGCTGGTTACGCACAGCCAGACACCGGGGCGGTTAGAAGAGCACAGGAGGGCGTGGTGTGCATCAGAGAAGCTTTGAAAACCAGTTTCATGACGGGACAGGCTACGGTGTGAAAGTTCTGTTTGTTTCTCCTTGATGAAACCCCCCGCCCCTTGGTTCACTCTACTTCCCTGTAAGATGAGCACCCTCCCTTCCTCCCTTCAATCACTGCTTGCAGAGGCAATAAAGTCATTGTTGCTTCACATTCATGCATTCTTTATTCATTCATCACACAAATAGGGGGATGACTACCAAGGTAGCCCAGGAGGGGTGGTGGAGGAGAGAAGCACCAGGAGGGGTGGTGGAGGAGGGAAGGACAAGGCCACACAGCACTTTAAAAGTTTAAAACTTGAAAACTTATGGAATGCCAGCCTTCTGTTGCTTGGGCAATCCTCTGGGGTGGAGTGGCTGGATGGCCAGAGGCCCCCCTACCGCGTTCTTGGGCATCTGGGTGAGGAGACTATGGAACTTGGGAGGAGGGCGGTTGGTTACACAGGGGCTGTAGTGGCGGTCTGTGCTCCTGCTGCCTTTCCTGCAGCTCAACCATACGCTGGAGCATATTAGTTTGATGCTCCAGCAGCTTCAGCATTGAATCCTGCCTCCTCTCATCACGCTGCCGCCACCTTTCAGCTTCAGCCCTCTCTTCAGCCTGCCACTTACTCTCTTCAGCCCGCCACTTCTCCTCCTGGTCATTTTGTGCTTTCCTGACATTGTCTGACATTGTCTGCCTCCATGCATTCATCTGTGCTCTGTCAGTGTGGGAGTACAGCATGAGCTCAGAGAACATTTCATTGTGAGTGCATTTTTTTGCCTTCTAATCTTTGCTAGTCTCTGGGAAGGAGAAGATCCTGTGATCTTTGAAACACATGCAGCTGGTGGAGAAAAAAAAAAGGGACAGTGGTATTTAAAAAGACACATTTTATAAAACAGTGGCTACACTCTTTCAGGGTAAACCTTGCTGTTAACATTACATACATAGCACATGTGCTTTCGTTCCAAGGTCGCATTTTGCCTCCCCCCACCGCGTGGCTAGCCCCTCCCCCCTCTCTGTGGCTAACAGCGGGGAACATTTCTGTTTAGCCACAGGCAAACAGCCCAGCAGGAACGGGCACCTCTGAATGTCCCCTTAAGAAAAGCACTCTATTTCAACCAGGTGACCATAAATGATATCACTCTCCTGAGGATAACACAGAGAGATAAAGAACAGATGTTGTTTGAACGCCAGCAAACATACACTGCAATGCTTTGTTCTACAATGATTCCCGAGTACTTGTTACTGGCCTGGAGTGGTAAAGTGTCCTACCATGGTGGATGGAATAAGGCTGCCCTCCCCAGAAACCTTTTGCAAAGGCTTTGGGAGTACATCCAGAAGAGCCGCGAATGCCAGGGCAAATTAATCATTAAACATGCTTGCTTTTAAACTATGTATAGTATTTTAAAAGGTACACTCTGCCTCGCGGGTCTGGGAGGCAGCCTTGGGTGGGCTCGGGGGGTACTGTCTCCAGGTCCAGGGTGAGAAACAGTTCCTGGCTGTCGGGAAAACTGGTTTCTCCGCTTGCTTGCTGTGAGCTATCTACAACCTCATCATCATCATTTTCTTTGTCCCCAAAACCTGCTTCCGTGTTGCCTCCATCTCCATTGAAGGAGTCAAACAACACGGCTGGGGTAGTGGTGGCTGACCCCCCTAAAATGGCATGCAGCTCATCATAGAAGCGGCATGTTTGGGGCTCTGACCCGGAGCGGCTGTTCGCCTCTCTGGTTTTCTGGTAGGCTTGCCGCAGCTTCTTAAGTTTCATGCGGCACTGCTTCGGGTCCCTGTTCTGGCCTCTGTCCTTCATGCCCTGCGAGATTTTTGACAAATGTTTTGGCATTTCGAAAACTGGAACGTAGTTCTGATAGCACGGATTCCTCTCCCCATACAGTGATCAGATCCCGTACCTCCCGTTCGGTCCATGCTGGAGCTCTTTTGCGATTCTGGGACTCCATCATGGTCACCTCTGCTGATGAGCTCTGCATGGTCACCTGCACCTTGTCACGCTGGCCAAACAGGAAATTGAAATTCAAAAGTTCATGGGCCTTTTCCTGTCTACCTGGCCAGTGCATCTGAGTTGAGAGTGCTGTCCAGAGTTGGTCACAATGGAGCACTCTGGGATAGCTCCCGGAGGCCAATACCGTCTAACTGTGTCCACAGTACCCCAAATTCGACCCAGCAAGGCTGATTTCAGCACTAATCCCCTTGTCGGGGGTGCAGTAAGGAAATCGATTTTAAGAGCCCTTTAAATCGAAAAAAAGGGCTTCGTCATGTGAACAGGTGCAGGGTTAAATCGATTTAATGCTGCTAAATTCAACCTCAACTCCTAGTGTAGACCAGGGCTAAGAGTGTGACAAGGCTTCTAGCATATGATGGAATTTCTCTAGCTATTTCAAACCTCGGAATCAGCTCCTTTCCAAATTCATGTCCAACCTAATGGCTCCTTGGTAACTGAGCAAGCAATGCAACATATATTTAGAATGGATGAATGATACATTTTAATGGCTGAGGGCCTCCCTTTTTGCAGGCACAGTTAGTTCTACACTGCAGTTTGCTCAGAGCCGTGCCTTTACAGCATGAGTGAGCCCTTAATGTGAAGTAGGGAAGGACAAAGAGACTTAATTTAACTTGAGTTCTTGTAGTATGCTCTCTCTTGGTTATTCACGGAGGGACAAATCCTGCAGTCTTTCATCCGGAAAAATTCCCTCTGAAGTCACAGAGCTGAATCCTGAGGTTCCCATTCAAATAGACTCTTACGGTTCTCAAAGGGGGTTTGCCTGAGGGCAATATTTTGCTACCAGTTTTGAAGCACAAAACTGCTGGCACAGTATGGCTTTGAATAGGAACTTCAGGATTTGACCACTGGGAATTTCTTGCGTGAAGACTGCAGGATTTGACCTTGAACTTTGAGCATGTAAGATATACTCCACTGGATGCATATGTTCTGTTTTAAGGAGTCATAGTAACTGAATGCACTCACAGATTTCTATCGGGATATGGGGAAATGGATAGCTAATAGATATTAAAATATAGCTATTGTTTATTAAATTAGAGCAGCCATATTACCATGCTAGTATCATGACATATGTTAAAAAGTAGTTTGATAATGCCAGGTCTAAACTGCAGTCCTATGTAGTAATAGCATAATAAAATGTGTTCTGTAGTTTTACTGAGACAGCTGGAGTTCAAATATATTTTTGTTATAAAATAATACAGATTTCACCCTGGGGTTTTTATTGGTTTCTTTCTTTGCATAAGTCCCAGAATGCGATGCAGTAAAACATGGTTTGAGATGTTAAACTGGAGATAAAAGTGTGGTGCAAGGCTTTCAACAGCCCTTTAAAGTGAACAAAGTACAAGAACTGGTTACAATGTAGAGCCTTCACCCATTAAAATGAATTACTCCTGAGGTGCTGCACAAATTTTTGCAAAAACCTCTGTAACAAGAGTGGAGAGTGAGAGGCAAGTGAGGTTTCTAACGAAAGAAATAAATCTCATCATGAAACTTTGAAAAAAGAACAACCAACGCAGCCCTAAAACCCCAGGGTGGGCTTTTCAAAGGAGCCTAAGGGAGTCGTAAGTCACTGGTTGCTGAGAACCTAACATCCAAGTCTCTTTGAAAATTCCAGACCAAGTCACAAAACGGCACCATTCCAATGATACCGAAGGTGAATCAGTCATCAAAGAGGTCTGAACCTTCTGATAAGCATACATGATTCCCGTTGAAGGGATGGAATTCACTTAGATAAATAATAATATAGAGCCTAATTCAGCACACACTGAAGTCAGTGGACAGATTCCCATGGACCTCAATGGGCTTTGGTTCAGTAGCATAGTTTTTCTGAGTCCTTGAGTTGTATGCATCTCTCTCTTTTTCTATCTCTTTTTTGCCTTTAGCAAGTTCGTGGAACGATTACAAAATATAGTGAAAAGCAGTTCCAACCAATATAGTTACACATTTTGAGTTGCCAGTGTGGAGAAGTCCAGACAGTTTTGAAGCCCAGAGTTCTACCAATTTACCCCAAAACTGAATTACTCACTTTCAGCTTATTCCCACTGGTCTGTGTTTAAAAGCCTCATGATAATTTACAAAACCAGGCACAAAATGCACTTGCTGGACAACATTTACTCACTTCCCCTTTAGAATGAGGATGGTGAAAAATAAATGATAACTTACTGCCATTTAACAACCAGACATGAGTACAGATTACAAATAATTCCCATTGACTTTAGTGAGAGCATAGGGGTCCTTGGCTTAAACCATTTTAGCTAGAAGTATGGGTTAAACTGAGCTTTCAAATGGTTCAGCTAAACTGGTTAGAGAAGGGGCCTCTCTTTCTTCCTTCTCCCTGTGGGTACACATTCCAAATTTGATTATGAATAACGAAGTAACCACACCACAGTAAAAGTAATAAGTGTCACCCAGGACTTTCTCTCTTGCACTCCAGTATAGTTCCCTTTAGCTCTACAAGCAAGAACAACTGAAAGCAGGAATATACTAAAAGAGAGAGAAGGGGAAAAAAAAATCTATTCCTTGACTTTTACTGCACCCTCTGGTGATGTTTTTACTGCTTTGAGTTGACTGTTTTTCCATATACAGTCATACTGGTAGAGGCGTTCCTCATTCCCCTACTGCTCATTCAGCACATAGGCATGCATCGGATGCTGAAGAGGTTGGAGATTTCTCTCTCTGGGGAGTCAGAGAAAGTTTTTCCAGCCCCATTAAAATATGAAAACAGATGAGGGAAACAAGGGAAGAAGATAAGAAAGTAGTAAGAAGAGAATTAGAAAAGTGGATGGGGCAGGGTAAGAGAGCAAAACGTAGGGCAGGAGAAAAGGAACTGCAGAGGTCCTTTGTGTGTGTCAGGAGAGTGGGCTAATAGAGGAAGAAGAGGGTTAGAGTACATGAGGAGCTAAATGTTAGAGTTTACATACTCTGCCGAGACATTGAAAGGTTTCAGAGAGATCGCTTCCACCCCACAAAAGTACAGTTTATTTAATGTTATAACGCCTATCTCTTCTTCCCCCATCTCTGTGGGATGTGAGGTGTCAAATCGAGGACCTGGCCAAATCATGATCAGTATAATTCTGATTCTGAATTCAATGTCCTGGCCTGTTCAAATTCTAGCAAAGTTACTTCTTTGTACTGTGAACGTCATGCATGGGTAGTTGAGTGACATTTTTAGAGACGAAGCGCAATTGACCAGGCATTGTTGGAGTGGCTGCATGACAGCTATTTTTCTTGCGTGGATGAGATATACTATTGCATCTTATCATACTTCCTTTCTGCCCAGTATATTTGCACAGAATTGTATTCAAAGCCCAATGACAAATGGCTGCTTTCTATGAGCCATGTAGGCATCTGTGTGAGGGGAAAACCATCTCTGGATATAAAAACAGAGTTTCAACCTGAGGAGCTTCCTCCAAATGTTTCTTTTGGGAGTGGAAGGATTTTCCCATCCTTATTCCCTACCACTCACTGAATGAAGTGACCTCGGCTCTCTAAATTCACAGGTAGTCCAGGGTGTGCAGAAAAACCATGCAATCGGGATATAAGGTCATCGACAGCTCTGGTTGTGGCATTCGCACAGAGGCTCAATACCTTTGCATTCTTCTCCCTTTGCTGTGATGCTGGCATGGAGTAGGTCCTCAGTGGGTTCCCCAAAGTCTCATGGGGAGCATCTGTAGTGCAGAGGGAAGAAGCATCATAAGTGAATGCTGAAGCAACATTATCTTACACTTAATATCCCTGAGGGAGTGAGAGGGATGGTGCTGTGGTCCTGCCTTTTCCTCATGCAACCACGCCCTCCGCATCCCATGGATCCTTGACCTCTCAGGGTATGGCTACACTGCACTCTGAGCCTGGGACTGTGGGACCTGGGCTCATGAACTCAGTGTTTCCAAGCCCCTGCTTGAGCGTCCACACTTCATTGTAAACCCAGGCTTGTAATTGATGGGCCCGAGTCTCTCAGTCTTGCTCGCGCATCCACACTGCACTACTGGAGACCTTCTGGACCTGACTCACAGTGGGACTTGGGCTCTGACCCAGCCACCTAGCCAAATTGTACAACTTGAGTCCTAAGCGTTTGCTGACCTGAGTCAGAGTGATTTGTGTGTAGACAGAAAGGTGGCTTGGGCTCAAAGCTGAGTCAGAGCTGGGCTTACTGTGCAGTGTAGACATTCAGCTTGTGTACAATGGGATCCCAGGAAGGGGGGGGAGCATTCTTCAGAGCCAGGGGTCCTTGTCTGATGTGTTCCACGCTTCCTCACAAAGATCTCCCACACTGAGTTCTACACAGAGCTGCAGGGACTCATTGGTGCCTGTGCTGTTGTGCATATTCTGCTGCTGAGAAATTATTTCTGATGCCAAATGCAGTCACCAAGAAGGCGAACTTTCCAAGCATGCTGCACATGGAATCATTGAACAACGCTGTTATTTCACATGGGTACTGGCATGCAGCGCAAAGAACAACCTCCAGCTGAGAGGAGCTTAGTACAGCTCTTTCCAGCTTAACGGGAAGGAGGCTGCCTTTAGACTCACCTCATAAAGCTTTTGGCTTCATATCACATGGGCACTGGACTAAGTCTTGGATGAAGTGATGGGCAGGATGCACACTTAGCCACTGTATGGGGGCTGGATCACAGAAACCCGCTGGGAGCTGCCACCTGATGTGCCAAGACTACTTCTGCCCCTGCTTTCCTGTCCAGGACTCCAGTGCCCTGCCTGGTTTGAGCTAGACCCGCTCGCCTGCTGCAAACCCAGACCCAAGTCTGAACCACGTCCCCTAACAGCTGTTAACTGAAAGCAGCTTACAGAAGTGTGCCTGTCTTTAACACTCAGGTGCCCAACCCCTAATGGGGTCCAAACCTTAAATAAATCTATTTTACCCTGTATAAAGCTTATACAGGGTAAACTCATAAATTGTTCTCTCTCCTATAACACTGATAGAGAGATATGCACAGCTGTTTGCCCTCCCCCCCAAGTATTAATACATACTCTGGATTAATTAATAAGTAAAAAGTGATTTTATTAAATATAGAAAGTATGCTTTAAGTGGGTCCAAGTAGTAACAGACAGAACAAAGTGAATTACCAAGCAAAATAAAATAAAACACGCCAGTCTAAGTACAGTAATAAAAACTGAAAACAGATAAAATCTCACCCTTGGAGATGTTTCAATAAGTTTCTTTCACAGACTGGAGCGGGACACCTTCCTGGTCTGGGCACAATCCTTTCCCCGGTACAGCCCTTGTTCCAGCTCAGGTGGTAGCTAGGGGATTCCTCATGATGGCTGCCTCCCTTGTTCTATTTCTCCCACTTATATATCTTTTGCCTAAGGTGGGAATCCTTTGTCCCTCTGGGTTCCCAACCCTCCTTCACTGTGGAAAAGCACCAGGTTAAAGATGGATTCCAGTTCAGGTGACATGGTCACATGTCCTGTGAGACCCCCAGCCTTCATTCCTCCCAGCCTGACACACAGGAAGGCCTGCCTGCAAACAGCGTCATCCACAGTCAATTGTCCTGGTTGATGGGAGCCATCAAGATTCCAGACCACCATTAATGGCCCACACTTTGCATAACTACAATAGGCCCTCAGAATTATATTTCATATTTCTAGTTTCAGATACAAGAGTGATACATTTATACAAATAGGGTGACCACACTTAGTAGATTATAAGCTTTGTAATGATACCTTACAAGAGACCTTTTGCATGAAGCATATTTTAGTTACATTATATTCACACTCTCTATATAGAGTGCGTCACAGGGGGAAACTCTGCTAATTGGTTAAGCCTGCACTAGTCTGCCCACTAGTTGGCAGACAAAAGAGCCTGCACCATATACTATTAGGAGTTTTATTAATTAGTCACACCAGTAGTGAGGCATCCACTGGCACGTACAGAAAGAATGCAGTCTGTAATGAAAAGCATAAGTGCCTGTTTTCACAAAGCAGCCCCTCCGGCAACTCAGCCAGAAAAGTGAAATGGAGAAAATGTACGTAACTCACAGACTGAACTATGCAAAGAACATTTTCGTCATGGGCAAGAACAGTGAAAAATATAATCTTTTTGTGTCTTTGCTAAAGCAGAAGGTGTTTTAGAAACTGGAGTTCCTAGATAGGAGTTATTCACAAAGCAAAATGTGTTGCATCACACAGCTCTGTTTGCACATCTCCTTTGCGTTCACAACATAGTCTTAACTGTACCTGTAATTTAGTGATTACAGACTCATGTTGTCTGGGGACACTACCCTAGAAATGGGCGCAGCTGTTTCTGGGTTATGTAATCACTTTATTGAAATAGAAGGCTCTTTTTAAGACTGCACATCTGAATTAATGCCCCAGCATGGGCTAGTGGTCACTGTGTGGCTGGAGGTGCTGTTTTTCAATGATATATAACACCAAGACCTGATTGTTTCAGTCATTAAAGATCCCATGGCACTTCCCATAAGGAAAGTGTACAGTAAAGCTTGTGGTTGTTGTGTGCTGTTAATCAGGAGCCACGTTTCCCCCCAGAGGTGGCTGGATTTCAGTAGAGGGTGAAATGATGTATTTAATCTGTGTGTGTGCATGCACGCCTATTTAGTTATATATCAGTTAATTCATGGATGGGGTTTTCAGAGGCACCCTGGGCTGCTGTAACGCTGCTTCCATTGAAGTCAGTGCTTTTGTTATTGGCTGAGGGCTTTTGAAAAATCTCATCTGTAACCCCTCTCTAGAGACTAGTTTCAGGGATAGATTCAGCTCAGGGTTATTGGTGGCATAACCCCCTGCTAGATGGGCACGGGTAGTCATAGCCACAGCTTTCCTTTATCTCCCCACTGGGGGCCATGGAAAGCAGTGCAGCCCAAATGTTGCCTTGGCTGAGAAGAGCATGGCTAAGGTGTCAGGGGGTGTACTGATTCAATGCACTTTCTGCAGGTACAGCTCCTGTAGAACTCCACTCCTGTTGCCCCCCAGGAAGAAACCCAATGGAGGGTGAGGATGGTAAGAAATTTCCTTTACCTGCTCTGCTTTGGGATGAACCTTCTAGGATCCAGGGAACTTTGTAGACACAGGAAGACTTACTTTATATCTCCCACCACTGACAAGAGGGAATTTGGCACTAATTTCACATACTGCTTTGAGATCTTTAGCAGTATGATAAATGGAAGTGCTCTATAGATGGAAAATGTGAATGATTATAAAGTTATTATTTACAAAGCAACCTTTGCTTTCCTTTGGGATGCAGAAGTGTAAGTGGTTTGCAAGCCAATGAAACCAAAATCAACTTTTTGACTCATTTTATGTAACTTTTGTTAACACTCCTCTGGGTATTTTCCTCTCTTCTTGCTCTGGCCACTTCATCAGCACAATGGTGCAAAATTAGCTATTGAATCTACAGGAAGGAAGCTCCAGGAAACAGGTGACACAATATCAGGCTAGACTTTAAAAGCACACTTCCTCCGCCAGCTCAGATTTATTCTGTATCAGATTTTTAAAGGGAAATAGTAAATTACGCTGGTGTGTCCCTTAGCTGAGAAACAAGCCATTTTTGATCAGATGCATTATTCTGGTGCAGAGGATGCAGTATTCCACCGGGTATAGGTGAGGCTGAAGTCTGGAGTCATTCATTTTGTCCTCTATTCAAAAGTGAGCATTCAGAGATGTGATTTATTCATCCTAGAGCTGTGTGAACATTTGGAAGAAACTCCTTCAGGAACACTAAAAATAGCTCCCTCTCTGTTTAGCCTTTTTTCTGCTGTAAAAAGATCAGATGCTTTGACAAGAAGGGGGATTTTCTGATGTGTGCTTGCACATTGTTGTGAACACACATTCCTGATATACATATGGGAAATCAGACCAATAAATAAATCATACTAGTTTTGTAATAATGGCAACTAATGCCTACAAGTTTATAGTCAAAGATGCCCTCAGAACAACTGCTTTGGGAATGTGTAAGAACATGTGCCTCAGGGCAGCATATTTCTTTTCATTCATTAGCGATGACCATACACACTCACAACTTCATTTTCACTCCACCTTGAGTTATATAAGCCCTGGTCTACACTAGGACTTTAGGTCGAATTTAGCAGCGTTAAATCGATGTAAACCTGCACCCGTCCACACAATGAAGCCATTTTTTTCGACTTAAAGGGCTCTTAAAATCGATTTCCTTACTCCACCCCTGACAAGTGGATTAGCGCTTAAATCGACGTTGCCGGCTCGAATTTGGGGTACTGTGGACACAATTCGATGGTATTGGCCTCGGGAGCTATCCCAGAGTGCTTCATTATGACCGCTCTGGACAGCACTCTCAACTCAGATGCACTGGCCAGGTAGCCAGGAAAAGAACCGCGAACTTTTGAATCTCATTTCCTGTTTGGCCAGCGTGGCAAGCTGCAGGTGACCATGCAGAGCTCATCAGCACAGGTGACCATGATGGAGTCCCAGAATCGCAAAAGAGCTCCAGCATGGACCGAATGGGAGGTACGGGATCTGATCGCTGTTTGGGGAGAGGAATCCATGCTATCAGAACTCCGTTCCAGTTTTCGAAATGCCAAAACCTTTGTGAAAATCTCCCAGGGCATGAAGGACAGAGGCCATAACAGGGACCCGAAGCAGTGCCGTGTGAAACTGAAGGAGCTGAGGCAAGCCTACCAGAAAACCAGAGAGGCGAACAGCCGCTCTGGGTCAGAGCCCC